CGTCATCGAGTTGCCTGTTAAGCTTCAGATTCTTAATGGCGGTTCGGGGCCAGTCACTTCGACTGCAGCTTGTACTATTGATCAATTGGTACCTAAGGCCGGAGCATGGCAATTCATTGATAGTGTTCAAGTTGTTATTGACGGAACTACTGTGCAAACAAATCAGGTTCATGAGAATGTGAATACAACATTCAAGGCCCTGACCGAAACAGATTACAACACGTATGTCAAGCATGGCCCAACTAGCAACTTCGTATTGGACGAATATTCCACTCCAACGATTCAAGGGTCAAGCGGAGCAGCGCAATCGCTTGAAAACTTGGCCACTTCATCTTTTATGACAGCTACTAATAACGTTGGTGAGTTTGGATTAGCTAACACTTACTCGAACAGGGGAGCCGCTGAACGATCACTCTTTACCGCTCTTGACCAACAAAGCACGAAACTTGCATTCGATGTTATGGGAGGTAGCGCAAATCTTCAAGCGGTATCCAAGCCTCAGGTATATGTAGCTCCTGCTGGTGCCGTTGCTGCTGGTTCGCCATTTTACGTCGCGCATTATCTGGCTTGCATTAAATTGCGGGATATTTGTGACTACTTCAAGAAATGCCCAATGCAGAAAAATACGCGCGGTTTCATTTACCTCAACTATAACAGCTCATCTACTACTTTGGTTACGACTGGTACTGCGGGTGCTGTCTCATCTACTACTATTGCTAGTTTGAGCAACAACATGAACTTCGGAAACACGTGCCCAGTACTTTGGAACCTGAGCAGTGGTGCAACGACAACGGCTTTGGCGGGTGGTCTTGCACTACCCGCATCTGCGGTAACTCTAACGGTTACAGCCGACGTTAATGGTACTCCCACCGCTGGAACTGGCATCACTCCATCGCAATCGTTTTCGCGTCTTCTTGTTCCGACCTACTTGCCTAATCCAAGCGCTGACCATGCGTTGGCTCAGAAGAAGACGTTCCGCTACTTCGAGCGAATTACGAACAAATTCACTGTTGCGCCAGGCGCTTCCTTCACTTGGACGGTCAGTAATGGTATTGCTAACCCAAAGCGTTTGATCATG